TTATGTAAATATAATATATAAATTTATAATAAATATATCCTTACTAATGTTAATAATTTCATTATTTATTAATTATTTGGTACCGTTATTAATTACTTAATAGTGAAGTTAAATTGACTTTGTATATTAAAAAAATAATATATAAGAGTTTTTTCTAATTGTTAACATTTAAGTGGAACGATAACCATCGTCAATACCTCGGCCCAAAAAAACGGAAGTTTAGAAGCCAAGTCTTTGTCTTGATTTTTTTTTTTTTAATTTTTTCATCAAAATGTAGAGTTAAGTAAATGTTTGATATATAATAATCATATACTAGTTTTAGGCTCAATTTTGCAATATAATGTTACGAAACTGTTTATGCTTTTTTTTTCTTCTTACAGGAAAAATTCTAACGAAAAAAAAGATTTTATGGAGTTGTGTTTGTATATAGTTTATTATATATATATAAACTTATATATGTATAAGTGTAGGTCTTTTCATATTATGTTATATGTACGAATTTGTGTTTCAACTTATATTTTTTGCTATAAGTATAAATTCATGTATTTTCTTTTATATATATATTTTATATGAACTAAAGTGTGTGTTTGAAATAAGTTTAATTATGTTTTAATCTGTATCTAATGTTACAAATTACAATATTCAACGAGTATACAAGTATATTTACAGGTATATATATATCTAGCAAATTAGGTAAAAAATATAAATTATCATTACCTAAATAAGTATTGTGTATCAAAACCTTGTATATATCTATATTTGCTCACCTCTAAAAAATATAATAGATGTTTTGTGATTAAAAAAAGTCAAAATTTTTAATTTCAATAGGAAAATAGATGAGATAAAGTATAAGTTTTATAAGTTTTATTCATTATATGGTATAAATTATATGCCATGATATTTTAAATATAAAAATATCTTAATTTTTATTTTTTTATGTGAGAATGGGGTTTTTTTTTTCTTTTCTAAGTTGGTAATGAAAGCATAAAAAATACCTTTAACAAATAAGAATAATTTAAAACATTAAAATACTTTCACTAGATTAAAAAAATAAAAATAACTTGCAAAATAATTAATTAAACTATTGACAGAAAAAAATACTTCATCGCCCCACCCACATTCCAAATGGGAAGGATATAATCATCATTAATCATTACATCACCACCAAGACCATAATCCTCTGGTAAGTATATTCTTAAAAAGGGACGGAACTACATGGAAATGTGTTTAAGCACGGCCCTACCCGAGACTTAAAAAATATGAAATAAAAAGATTTAGTAGTAAGGTTAAAAAAAAAAAAAAAAGTTAAAGATTCTATCATCACTCTAATGGTGGGGTAAAACAATGGTCTTAAAGTTAGCGTTAAAAGAAGAAAGGCCTTACCCTTAGGTTCTCTCTGGTTCTGCGAATACTCAGGCAACACATCCATCAAGTTTTGTAAATTATAAAAGTTCTTATTGCACCGAGTCATGACTCTTTACAAGCCATATAGAGCAACACACAAAATATATGTTAAAACCCCTTAAGAAGTTTGTGAAAAAAAAAATTCTAAAAAGTTCTTATGCAAAATCATTCACAGCAGACAAAATGCGCGTAGCCTAATTAGCCACGCACAGCAATTAATCCATAAAGGAAGATATTACCAGAATTTGAATTTTTTTTTTTGTTTAAGTACCATTTTGGTCCCTCAACTTTACACTTTGATACCAAAATTGTCTCTCATCTTTAAAAAATATCAAAATTATCCTTAAACTTTTATTTTTTATACCAAAATAATCATTCCATCAGTTAAATGACAAGTGTCACGTTAACTTGCTAGCAAATCAATTTTTTTCTTTGCTTAACTAATGACATGAAAAAAAA